GGTACCTGCAATGCGTGCTTATCATAGTCTAAAAATACATGTTCCAGTACAAAGCGCATGTCCGCCAGTTCTATGGAAATGTTTTGAGCGAGTTTGAAAGAAAGCGTTACTTTTTTTGTAGCGCGTGCGGGAATCCTCTCCGAGAATGGAGAAATCTTTGTGAAAACGTGGGGTGTGCGTTATATAGGTTGGTGATACTACATGAAGTTTACAGTTGCCTAGTATTACTGTTTTCCAGAGTATATATCAAAAGAGCAAAATCAGTCCAAAGGACCGAACTGCATTTGATCAACATAGTGCCCCAATTGACAGATCTCATAAGCACCCAAATAGAGAAAATCATCAGTTTCCATGACATGCTGCATCATTCCGGGGTACTGGTTTGTAATTCTTCTACATTTTGCAACACTCTCACAACGTGATAATCGTTCAACAGGCCGATGTCGGTGACAGAAGCGACATACGTTTGTTTCCCGGTTTTCGAGAAGCGATAGAGACCGCCAATGAATTTTGTGCCCATCGGTTGCGAATTTTATTGTCTCTATCTGTGGATGGATTCGTTCCTAAACGATTATCGCGGTACAGCTTTGAGTGAATCGTTAGATCACTGTCAACATAGTCGATTTCCAGTCGCGAAATATGGCCCCTTTATCTGCGCCTCGAAAACGTATCAAGAGATGAAGGGAACAATTTCCACAATTCTCTGCTCGCGGGCATACTCTGTACTCCTGTTAAACCTTCAGATTTGATGATGGAGACGCTGTTCAGCAGGTGAAACCTACCATCTAATTTTTTGATGCTATAAGCGATGTATAGGCTGGAGTCAGAGTTAAGCGCCCTGCGCGACACACCTATGGAAGTGAACATAAACGGCGCCGTATGGACCCTAGAAGTTTCTCTTTACCGCGGAATAGCCGACATGGCTGTAAGGCGTTGCTTATACTTTCAAAATGAATAGACGAGAACTGTCACAACTTAGGCACAAAAAATTCTCTATGGAATGCCGACCTGGAACCGTAATTATGGGTGCTCAAAGTGTGATCTGGTAGGAGTCGTGCAGGGCCGGCAGCGCATCTGGTTGCCCGCTCAAGACGAAATACCATCGCTCCGAACTCCAGAGTCGTTCGCGCGAGACGCAGGTAATCAAGGACAGTTTGGGATTTTGCGTAAGTCGCATGTATCCATGCTTGCAAGCCTCACTGGTTGAACTGAGTATATAGAGATGACCCCTGCCATGAGGATAATGCTACCGTGCGCGTTTTCTTCTGACTCCTTACACATTTGCTCCGAAGGTGTCACGAGAGATAGGTTGCGAGGTAAATTCTCTTGGTCTTCATTCAGCGTTGTAATCTTATCTTATAGATATGTTCAATGCGGCGTCTAGATTTCCGGGTCTCCGTGTAGATTACCACAACACCGAACTGCTAAAGACGTGCCTCAGGAAACTGTCTTCCCACACTTACTCGAATTCCCTCATTTTATCGCTAGAGGATTTGAAGACCTGTAAAGCAGCCGAAATAGATGAGGTTATTCTTAACATTCACTAGGTCGCTGGTTCTTCTCTCGGTAACCGTAAATCAGTGCTTAAGTAAGAGCTCCATATCTGTCTGCAGGGACT